TCCACCTACCATCCACCTACCATCCACCTACCATCCACCTACCATCCACCTACCATCCACCTACCATCCACCTACCATCCACCTACCATCCACCTACCATCCACCTACCATCCACCTACCATCCACCTTATTTACCTTTATTTTTCTGGGAAAAGAATTTACATGGGGAAGAACCTATTTTTGTGTGATACACCATTTCTTATAATTTATTTGAAGTTTATACCTGAAAATATTGTAGGAGCCACAGGACATTATAGATGAGTCGAAAAAAAAACAGCCGCAACTATTTCATAAAAGAGTCAGATACGCCTCTGGAGCCGCGGGTTGCCTTCTCCTGATCAAGACGATATGGAGCGAACACCGCTACTATGATATTGGTAAAATAATGTAGTGATGGAAGAATGATTGACGCTATAGAATCCTTACACATGTTAGATCCTTTTCTGATGACTAGAAGTCCGGGGATTTTTATATCTGTTACTATAAAAACAAGAATCCGGAGTTGGCCCTGGTGTTGGAACTCTCAATAGATACTTCCGGAGCCACTGTCACACAGGATGTTGGAGCAGGAGTTGATACAAGAATACATATTCAATGCAGGAAAACAAATGTCAATATAATTTATACAAATTATGATTTATTATTTTTTTTTTAAATTTGTACTGTTGAAGGAATTTGCCAAAGAGTTTACATTTCTATTCTGTACAATCACCACTAAAGCTGAACCTATATTGTTTTAATTAAACACATTTTTTTGTGTCTGACCACTTTAGGAAAACAAATAGTGCAACTTGTTGTCGATGTCGTTCAGCCGGGAGATAGAGACAAAGAAATACTTCGGAATCATGACAGTCTTGGTGCAGACTTAGCTCTCTAATGACACATTAGTTACATACTTTGTTCTCAAATGACAGGTTAGTTAAGGAATTATTTTCCTATACTATTTCGGTGATGATTTGGTAACTACCACATATCATATCTACACATTGACTTCGCTGAATATGACGCTTATTAATTTGAGGGGAAAAAACTCAATCACATCAACACAAAAATGGTATATCTCATCCATTTTTTTGAACTTACACTCTTAAGGACAACTTTCCGCATGAGATCATCCACCTACAAATCCACCTACCATCCACCTACCATCCACCTACC